CAGGGTGGGATCCTAGACAGCCTGGTGGGCAGGGTTTCCCTAGCCTAGAGTCTGGGTCTGCTTCATGCTCTCCCTTTAATGTACTTGTTCTGGGCTGCTTTCTCTTCACTCAAGGCACTGGGCTCTGCAGGGTATCACGTCTGATCATGGTGGTTTAAACAGATTTGCATTGGGGGTGGTGCCTGTAGCTTGTAGGAGGAGTAGGCAGTCACTTTCTCTCCTTCCAACACCTCAGCTTTGCCTGGGTTCCTGGCACCCCCTGGTCACCACCACCCCAACCAGGGCAAGATAGAAAAAAAGAGGAGACAAAAAAACCCCACTCTGCTTGGCTGTCTAATTTTTCACCAAGGCTGGCTCTCGCTGGGCAGGGCTTCTGGCCAGTCTCCCATCTGTTCAGAAGTCCTGATCCCCAGTGCTGCCGGGACCAGCTGCTGGTGTGCCGATTTCCAGCCCAGAGGTGAGGAGAGGGGCACCTCCTTGCTGGAGGTGGGGAGGATCATGCCTCTTTCTCCAGGCACTCTGCCTAGCCTCTGTCCAAGTTCTTTCAGTGAACAATTGGCCCCTCAGATTCAGAGGGGGGTGATCCTCTCAGATCCCTTCTCTGGTCCGCAATTCTGCTTTGTAGCCCTTCCTAGCTACCACAGTCGGCAATCTTCCCAGGCTGGTGTTGGCACCAACCACTCACCTTCAATCTGGGATAGTGCTGTCTGAGTCCCCCTGGTGGGCTGAATCACCTCTCATTCTCACTCTCCGATGCTATGTGGGCTCCCCTTCCGTTTTCTGTTGCTCTCCTTTGGGGATCTCTTGTGTGGGGCTGAATGTTCCCCCCAGCCCCACCACAGGGGGCAGGAGCTGCAACGCTGTACCTTCCCAGCCGCAGTATTTCCAATCAGCTATTTTCAGGTGGTTTTTGAAGTCCAATGTTCTGCAGTTTAGCCTCAAGTCCAGTCCTGGCTAGGAGCAAGCAGACAGAACTTCCTTAGGCTTCAGCCATCTTCAGCCCTCCTCTGAAACAGGCTCTACTGGGAGTTTTTTTTAATTACTGCTTCGATTTCATTTGTGGTAATCTATCTATTCAGATTCTTTGATTCTTCATGATTCAGTGTTGGAAGACTGTTTCTAGGAATTTATCCATTTCTTTTAGTGTGTCCAATTTGTTGCCATATAGTTGTTCATCAGTTTATTCTTGTATATGGTTGTATACAGTTTCATTTTTTTTGCATGTTGCTGTCTTATTTTTTGAACACCATTTATTGACTAGCCTGTCTTTACCCCATTATATGTTCTTGCTTCATTTGTTATAGATTAATTGACCATACAAGCATGGGTATTTTTCTGGGCTCTCTGTTTTGTTCCATGGATCTATGTGTTTGTTTTTATGTCAGTGCCAGGATGTTTTGGTTACTATAATCTTGTAGTATAATTTGATAACAGGTCGTGAGATACCTCCAACTTTATTGTTTTTCAAGATCACTGCTGCTATTCAGGGTCTTTTCTGTTTTCATACAAATTTTTGGATTATTTCCTCCAATTCTCTGAAAACCACCATTGGTATTTTTATGGCAATTACGTTCAATCTATAGATTGATTGCTTTGGGTATTTTAGTGATATTAATACTTTCTATACATGACTGTGGTGTATCCCTACATTTATTTGTATCGTAATTAATTTCTTTCTTTAGTGTCTTGTAATTTTCCAAATACAGGTTTTTTTATCTGCTTGGTTAAATATATTACCCAGGTTGGTTTTTATGTGTTTGTTTTTTGATGCAGTTGTTAATGAGATTGTGTTCTTAGTTTCTTTTTCTGATAGTTCATTATTGATTGGTGTATAAAAATGCAACATATTTCTGATTATTTACTTTGTCAGCCTGAACCCTACTTCTTTCTATGTCTCTGGGTCTATTTTATTCATCAGCTTATATTGTCCATTATATTCCACAAATAAGTGAGATTATATGGTATTTGTCTTTCTCTAATTGGCTTATTTCGCTTAGAATAACACTCTCCAGGTCCCTCCATGTTGTCTCAAAGGATAAGAGATCTTTCTTTCTTACAGCTGCATAGTACTCCACTGTGTACATGTACCACAGCTTTTTTATCCACTCATCTATTGATGGACACTTGGGCTGTTTCCAGATCTTAGCGATTATAAATAGTGCTGCTATGAACATAGGGGTACATATATTCTTTCTGATTGGTGTTTCAGGCTTCTTAGGATATATTCCTAGAAGTGGGATCACTGGGTCAAATGGCAGTTCAATTTTTAATTTTTTGAGGAAACAACATATTGTTTTCCATAGTGGCTGCACCAGTCTGCATTCCCACCAGCAGTGTACTAGAGTAGTTCTGGTAGTTTTTTGGTGGAATGTTTCGGGTTCTCTCTATATAATATCATGCCATCTGCAAATAATGAGAGTTTTACCTCTTTTTTTTTTTTTAAATGTAAGCAATTTTATTTATTTATTTTTTTAATCCTCACCTGAGGACATTTTTCCATTTTTTGTTCAGATAGAGTGGGAGGGAGAGAAAGAGAGAGAAACATTGGTGTGAAAGGGATACATCAAGTGGTTGCCTCCCTCACCTACACAACCCAACCAGGGCCGGGGACAAACTGCAACTGAGGTACATGCCCTTAGCAGGAACTGAACCTGGGTATCTCTGGACTGCAGGCCAATGCTCTAACTGCTGAGCCAAACCGGCCAGGGCTACCTCTTTCTTTTCAATTTTGATGCTTTTTATTTCTTCCTTTTGTCTGATTGCTGTAGCTAAGACTTTTAGTACTATGTTGAATAAAAGAAATGAAAGTGGACATCCCTGTCTTTTTCCTGATCTTAAGGGAGATGCTTTTGGTTTTTTTTTTTCACTGAGGATGATGTTAGCTGTGGGTTTATGCCCTTTATTTTGTTTAGGTACATTTCCTTTATCCAACTTTGCTAAGAGCTTTTATCATAAATGGGTGCTGGAGCCCTGGCCGGTTTTGCTCAGGTTAGGGCATTGGCTCATGGACCAATGAGTCTGGGTTCAATTCTGGTCAAGGGCACGTGTCTCGTATCTCGGTTGAGGTTCATCCCGGCCCTGGTCAGGGTCGTGCGGGAGGCAGCCAGTCAATGTGTCTCTTGCACATCGATGTTTCTGTCTCTCTCCCTCCCTCCCACTCTATCTGAAGATAAACAGAAAAATATCCTCAGGTGAGGATTAAAAAAAATAAAAAACATAAATGGGTACTGGATTTCACAAAATGCCTTTTCTACATCTATTGATATGATTATATGATTTTATGCTTCATTTTGTTTATGTGGTGTATCATGTTTATTGATTTGCATGTATTCTACCATCTATGCATCCCAGGAATAAATCCCACTTGATCATGTATAATCATTTTAATCTATTGCTGAATTCAGTTTGCTAATATTTTGCTGAGGATGTTTGCATCTATTTTTATTGTATGAGTAGTATATATGTTTCTTTTCATCATTTTTAAATAGGATTTTTCAACTTAAGAAAGTAGTAATTGCTGTCAATCTTCAGGTACATATATTGAAAAAAAGGACATTATGTTGTCAGATTTTTAGCACGTACAAAATGGAATAGGTTTGACAGAGTCCATACAAATAATCATTTAAGAAATTTTAAAGGCTCAACAAAAATAGACTTGCAAATGAAGAGAAAGTATGACTAATGAAGAACCTAAGGAAATAACCCCTAGAATATAGTTAAATTTTGTGTTTGTTTGTTTGTTTGTTACCCCATTATTTTCTGGTCCTTAAGTGTTTATGACTGTGTACAAAAACTATCTTAATTTAATAGTTTCTCATGATTGATAATCATGCTTTGTAATTTCACCTTACCTTAGCATCTAGTACAAGCACACACAGAGGTTGTTGGTGAGTCTTTAGGTAGGCCTCACATTATACCAATGACATTCTGAACAAAAGATATGTATACATCACAGTTTGCCAGCAAGGAATGATTGGGAAAGGTAGACACAACACATAGAAAAAGCCCTGAAGACTGGAACCTAGTCACTATTCTACTACTAACTTGCTCTATGATCTTGAGCAAATCATTTCATATTACTCTAGTTCGTTTTTTCCCATCTTTATTTATTTATTTATTTTTATTTTTTTTATTCCTCACCTGAGGACATTTTTCCATTTTTTGTTCAGATAGAGTGGGGAGGGAGAGAGAGAGAGAGAAACATCGAGGTGAAAGGGACACATAGAGTGGTTGACACCCACACGACCCAACCAGGGCCAGGGACAAACCGCAACCGAGGTACATACCTTTAGCGGGAACCGAACCCGGGCCTCCCTGGACCGCAGGCTGACGCTCCACCGCTGAGCCAAACCGGCCAGGGCTGTTTTTTTCCCATCTTTAAAATAACACAGATAAATGAGATAATCCCTAAATTCCCTTTCAGTTCTGATATTCTGTGAAATCTTAGTTCAAATATTATAATAATTAATATTCATTAAGCATCATCTCATTTAAATATCAAGCAACCTTGTGAGGTAGGTGCTGTTAGGGAAGTTAAGGATCTTGTGCAGGGCTGAAAAATAGTGTGACTGGGTTTCTCACCCAGACAGTTTTACTTCAGAGCTTGCATGCAACCTCCACACTATGTTACCTCTGAAGATACAAGAGGTGCTTGGTATTTAAAGATGTTCTACAGTGAATACTTTCTGAAAAAGAATAATCATCTCCTCATTTATCAGCTTTTAAGTTCTTCGGTTTTTGGTGTTTCCATTTGCTATTTTATTTTATATCAGGTTATACCTATATTTGTTGAATGAATAGAAATTCTTTATTACTCATGGTTTAAAATGAAAGAAGATAGCAAAGAATGAAATTCCATCCTTCCCTTCCCTTATCTCAGTAGGTCAATGATTTTCTAAAGTACCATTGACAAACTTGCTTAAAAATAATTCTATGGAAAACTGATTAGAAATAAAATGTTTTCAAATATCATTAATGTTTACATTTTTCTCTCTTTTCAGTCACTGTTTTGAGCCCAGCAGAAAAAGGTAAGAGGTGGTTGTGAATTGTATTGGTCAGCACTGTATATCCAGAGTGAATTAATTACATGCAAGCTTATATTTTGAGCATCTTTCCCAGGAATACACTGAGGTGAGTGGAAAATAAAGGATGATAGTTTCCAGGAGGCTTACCAAGAGGTAGAACACAACATATTTTGAGTTGCATTTTTGATTATATCACAAAAATTGAAACTTATCAAGATTTATGATAGAGAAAAAGCACAGATAACTCTGTTGGCCAAAGTGACCCTAGGCTCTCTCTTGGTTCATCAGTTTTCCTACGTACCTTGCCTTTTTACCCAACTCACCCCTTCTTTAAGGCATTGAGTAAGGGCTCCACAGAGGGCTTCTAAGTCTTTCATCATCACAGTTCCTATATACTTACTATACGCTTCTCCATTTCTCATCCCCTTCTTTTCTTGATCTGCAATTTATACTACCATTCCAATGAAATTGAGGTATTTTCCATTAAAAATCTGTAAGCTAGGCATGAGTTTCAACAAACCCTTAAGCTTTACATTATTTTTTCAGGTATAACTATAAGTATTTATGTAGCCACTTTATATAGCCTCTTTTAATTCTCAATTCATGGGAATTAATTGTTGCAATTCATCATTAACTACACAGAATTTATATTGTGCTGTTTAAAACTCCAGTTTGCTATTACTAATTTGACAGAGGTGATAGCTATAGAAGCTACAGAGCATAATGGTGGGAAGATAGTAGATCTAATAGTAGTTTAAAGTATGAGTTCTGGAGCTGAACTGTCTAAATTCAAATCCTGGCTGTACTACTTCCTAGTAAATTATTTTATTCTCCTTGTGCTCATTTTATTAATGTATAGAATAGAAATATTAATTCTACTTATTTTGTAAAGTTGTGAAAATCTAATGAGTTAATGAATTTAAACTGCGGCAGTGGTAAGCAAGCACATTGTGATGACTCAAAAAATTATTATTAGAGCAAATCTTGAGTTGCCTTTTATTCTTATGCGTGGTTCTTAAGGTCAGAGGTTATTTTCTGCATACACACACACATACACACATATATCTAATTAAAATAAATATTTTCACAATAAACTTTTTAAACAACTTAGGTGGGGGTTTAGATGATGTTCTACCATAATAGGAATAATGACAATAATATTGTTATTATTTTTTTTTCTTTATTAATTTTAGAGAGAAAGAAAGGGAGAGGGAGAGATGGAAACATCAATGAGAGAGAACACTGATTGGCCGCCTCCTGCATGCCCCCTCTGGGGATTTGGCCCACAACTTGGGCATGTGCCCTGACCGGGAATTGAACCAGGAACTTCTTGATGCATGGGTCAAAGTTCAACACTGAGCCACACTGGCCGGGCTTGTTATTATTATTAGAAATTATAATTTATTGTGCCAGGTACCCAGCTAAATATTATGTATACATTGCTTCCTTTAATATTTACATCAACACAATCATGCAGACATGCTTATGTCCATTTTATTGAGAAGGAAACTGAAGTTTAGAGAGGTTAAATAACATCCCAGGTCATCTAACTAGTAAGTAGTAGGATTCTCTGAACTCTCTGACTTCAAATTCCACAGTCTTAAGAAAACCTACACTTCTCTTTTACTTTTCAATGTACAATTCCCTCATTTGCTTACTTAAGTTTCTTCATCAGAGACTTGATGCTCAGTTACTCTTTTTTCTAGTGTTTAAAGTTCAATATCTTCATTTTTTGTGTCTTATCAGTGAACTCAACCATACCAGTGTAGATTGTCATTTGTAAGCCCAACTCAGTTCAAAACCTTCCTCATAGCATCACTTTAGTTACCAGGATTTGAGCTTTTCAGATTATGTTACTACAGTGCATGATTTAAAGGTCCCTTTTGACTCTAGAGTTCTATGATTCCAAAGCACTTTTCTCCTGATAGCTCTTAAATTTATCAATACAGTGAAAAATAAGATTAAATTTTACTTCATTTTTCTGCAGTGGGGCATAATGGGATAAAGCACAAGATTTAGGGACAGGAGATCTGGGTTGGAGTTCCAACCCAGATTTAATAACTCTATAATATATACATATATATATAATTTAATAACTCTGTTACCTTTGGTAAGTAACTCAACTTCTATGAATGTCTAATTTTATAAAATGAGGCTAGTGTAATAACATCTTACAGATTTATTTTGAGCTAGCTGAAGTAAAAGTATACAGCAGTAAATTGCTTTGTAAATGTTAAGTATTAATCTCACTTGTAATATTTTTTTTATATCTCAGGATTCTCAAAGACAGTGGAATCCATAAATTAACATTAGATTTTATTGTAACCAGAAGGTTGAAAGTTAGACCTGTAAAGAACTTCTGAACACTAGGGCAGAAATGAGCCTTGCCTAGAAACACACTAGTAGGCCTAATGACTATCTGAAGTCCCTGCTAACCCTGTAACTCTCTTGTGACTTTTTTCAAATTACACTGCACTATTTTTATTGATTGATTTTTTTTTTTTTTTTTTTTTTTTTTTTTTTTTTGGAGAGAGAGAGAAAGGGAGAGACACACAGAAACGTCAATGTGAGACAGAAACATCTATTGGCCACCTCCCGCATGCCCCCCACTGAGGATCAAGCTGCAACCCTGGCATGTGGCCTGACCAGGAATCAAACCAGGACCTCTCAGTCCATGGGCTGACACTTAATCCACTGAGCCACACCAGCTGGGAGCCACAATTTTTTTTTTATCCTCTAATCTACTGAAGGGCACTTGGGTTGTTTCCAAATCTTGGCTATTTTAAATAATACTGCAATGAACATAGAGGTACCTATATTATTTTAAATTAGTTTTGGGTTTCTTTGCATATATTCCCACAAATGGAATCACTGGGTCATAAGTAGTTCTATTTTTATTTTTTTGAGGTAACTCCATAATGCTTTCTACAGTGGCTGCACCAATCTGCTTTCTGCCAACATTGTATGGGGATTCCCTTTTCTCCACATCCTTGCCAACACTTGTTTCTTGATTTGTTGATGATAGCCATTCTGACAGACTTGAGGTGATATCTCACTGTGGGTTTTATTTGCATTTCTCAAATTCTTTGACCACTTTTTATTTGGATAGTTTGTTTTTTTGGTTTTTACTTAAAAATTTTTTTTTCTTTATTGATTTTAGAGAGAGAGGAAGAGAGGGGGAAAGAGAGATAGAAACATCGATGAGAGAGAACATTGGTTGCCTGCTTCCTGCACGCACCCCCCCCACACACTGGGTATTTGGCCCACAACCTGGGCATGTGCCCTGACCAGTGACCTATTGGTGCATGGATCGACATTCAACCACTGAGCCACACCAGCCGAGCATAGGTTTTTACTTGTAAAACTTTCTTGTAAATTTTGGCTATTAACCCCTTATCAGATATATCATTGGAAAATATGTTCATTCAGTGGGTTGTCTTTTCATTTACTGTAGTTGATGGGTTTCCTTTGCTGTGCAAAAACTTTTTAGTGTGGTGTCATCCCACTTATTTACTTTTTCTTTTCTTTTCTTTGCCCGAGGAGATATATCAACAAAAATATTGCTACAAGAAATGTCCGAGATTTTACTGCCTATGTTTTCTTCTACATTTTTTATGGTTTTGAGTCTTACATTTAAGCCTTTAATCCATTTTTAGTTCATTCATGGGCATGGTGTAAGAAGGTAGTCTGCTTTCAATTTTTTATTGCATGTATCTGTCATATTTTTCTGACACTATTTATTGAATAGAATCTCTTTATACCTATTCTTGCTTTTTTTGGTAAAATATTAATTGATCTTAAAGGTGCGAGTTTATTTTTTAGCTCTCTGTTCTGTTCCATTTATCTATATGTCTGTTTTTATGCTAGTACCGTGCTGTTTTGATTACTGTGGCATTGTAGTATAGTTTTATGTCAGGTAGTATGATTTTTTCACCTTTGTCCTTCTCAAGATTGCTGTGGCTATTCACGGTATTCATTGGTGTCATATAAATTTCTGGAATATTTTATCTAGTTTTGAGAAATATGCCATTGATATTTTGATAGGAATTGCATTAAATATATAGATTGCTTTGGGTAGTATGGGCATTTCAAAGATGTTAATTCTTTCTGTTCATAAACACAATATATGCCTCCAATTATTAGTATCTCCAATTTCTTTCTTCAGTATCTTATAATTTTTTGAAAACAAGTCTTTTACATTTTTGGTTACATTATTTCTAGGTATTTTTAAATGCAATTGTAAATGGGATTGTTTTTTAGTTTCCCATTCTGATAATCATTATTGGTGTATAAAAATGCAACTGATTTCTGGATCTTTTTTTTATTTTTTATCCTGCTACTTTGTTGACCTCATTTATAAATTTTGGTAGTTTTTTGGTGGAATCTTTAAGGTTCTCTATATACAGTATTATATCATCTGCAAATATTACAATTTTTTTAACTTTGAAAATTTTTATTTATTTATTTATTTATATTTTTATTGTTGAAATTATTTACAGATGTTCCCCCCTTTGCCCCTCCAATCCGCTCCCATCCCCGCCCAGGCATTCACTGCATTGCTCTCTGTGTCCATCAATTATACATATACCCATATGAATTATTTGCTTAATCTCTTCCCCAAATATGACAGTTTTACATCTTCCTTTCCAATTTAGATGCCTTTTATTTCACTTTCTTATGTGATTGCTGTGGATAGGAAATCCAGTATTATATTTTAAAAGTGGTGAAATTGGACATCCCTGGCTTGTTCCTGATCTTAAGGGAAATGCTTTTAGTTTTTGCCTGTTGAGTATGATGGCTGTGGATTTGCCTTATATGGCCTCCCATTCCAGTTTGCTGAGAGTTTTTTTAAATCATAAATTGGTACTGTATTTTATCAAATGCCTTTTCTGCATCTTTCATATGATCATGTGATTTTTATCCTTTATTTTGTTTATATGGTGTTATAACATCTTCACATCCCCAGAAAAAAATCCATTCACTCATTGGTATGCGATCTTTTT